AGAGGAAGAAAAGTGAATTCAGATTCAAAAAGATAGAGGCAACAACTCAGGATAATGGAAAGACGTGAGGTACAGACAATATGCTTGGGAGGAATTCTGTTCAGATGAAGCAAAGCTTCTGGCCTCAAGAATACAAGGAAATTTTCCTGCACAGTAAGGGTGTGGCTTGGGGTTGTGAGAGAGGAAGTAATGAGGGTTTAAATGTGGTAAGTCTCTGGTGAAGGAACCCATCATACTGACTGCGATACCTACCCCCCTTCCCCATCTACAGGAAACTGAGATGGGATGGGTGTTGAATACCTAGATGAACTGTGTTATCTGTGGAAGAGAGTGGGCCTATGCCTCACCTGCAGGGGAAATTCCAGTCTGCCACTAATCCCTTTCAAACTCTTCCAAAAAACTGAAGCAGAGGGTATACTTCCAAACTGATTTTATGGATTCAGCACTACCATGATACTAAAGCTAGAGAATAGCATAAACTTAATGACCAGTGTCCCTGAAGCACATAGGCTCAAATGTGCTCAACAAATTGCTAGCAAGTGAAATTCAACAACATATTAAAAGAATAGGTGTGGCAGTGAATCTCTGGCACTCTTGGTCATTCATTTGTTGGATGGAGAGATGCCTCTTAGGAAAATAGTAAAGCCCACTTCTGGGTGCATCTGGGTGGGTTTTGAGGGTGTTGTGTGTATGTGGCCAGTGAACTGAGCAGGGGATGTGGAGGAAGACACATATTCTGACTTTCGACAGGACCATCCAAAAGATTTGCAGCCCAGATGGAAAGAAAGTGGAGGGAGGAGCTCCACTAGTGCTTGCAAGTCAATTTTGCTTGAGCAGGTGTATATTTTGCTGCTTCTATTACCTGTGGACAGCGGATTCCAACTTCTTTAAGCTTTTGACACGAACTTATATCAACAACTCTCAAGGGAACTTCAGTCTTTTTTGATTATATTGGGGCTGCTCTTTTTTTAAGGCTTCCAACCTCTTGCACGGAACAACTACTGGATTCTATGGCTTCAGAATGCAAATAGCCACTGTAGCACTATGCAGTCTCTGATCCTGTAAGCCAATCTAATAAATCCCCTTTTATGACATATTTATATTCATAAAAGGGAAATACAGTGGTACCTTGGCTTGTGAACTTAATTTGTTCCACAATTCTGGGAAAGATAGCCACCTTTTTGCTCATCACATCATGCAGTTCAGGAATGGAAGCAAAATTTTTCTCAATGCTTTTGTTTACAAGCCAAATTGTTTACGATTTGGTTGCCAACCAAATTTCTTCTTTGCAGTTCCCTAACCAATACAATAATTCATCATAACTATGTGGGATTTATTTCAGTGAGGCAAAGATAGTTAAACAGACAAAAATTTGTGAATGTGATAATATCACATTAACAGAATTAAAGATAAAAATATGATTACCCAATAGATACAGAAAAATATTTGACACAATTCAGTATGCTTTTATGACAAAAGCTTTCAACAAATTAGATGTAGAAGGAGTGTACCTCAACACAATAAAAGTCATGTCCAAGAAAATCATGCGACATCATACTAAATGATGAAAATTTGAAAACTTTTCCTTCAAAACCAGGAGAAAGACAAGTATGCTCCTTGACCTTTCCTTTCAACAGAACGCTAAAGTGTTAACAACAGCAGTTAGGCAAGAGAAAGAAAAAAATCATCTAAGTTAGAAAAAGATAAGTTAAATTGTCCTTTTTTGCAGATAACATGATATTATACATCTATAGAAAACCATAAAGAGTCCATCAAGAAACTGTTAGAATTCATAGATTTTGAAATGACAGGATACAAAATCAATGGCATTTCTTTGTGGTAAAAAATGTGCTATCCAAAAGAAACCAAGAAAAAAATTCTATTTATAATAGTATAAAGAAAAAAAGAAATTTCACCAGAGATAAAGGATGTAGAGGGCTTCTGGAAAGATGGTAGAATAGTAAACAGCAAGAAGTCAAACTCTCTAAGATTCAGAATCCAAAAACTGGAAAATAAATTGGGGAAGAAAAGAAGGAGGGAGGTGGATCCCTGGGAACCAGGAAGGATCTAAAGGGAAAATT